GTAGGTTTTTTTTTTATTTAAGAATCTTTTATATAATTGTTTTTTATCAAGATTGTCCTAAATAAAACATTTCATATATTGAATGATTTAAAGTTGAATAATTTTGTAAATTATTTGACAGTTGTTTTATTATTTAACTTATCATGAGTTAAGGTTTTTTAAAATCACCTGAGTTGCTTTCGACTTATAACGGACTTTATATATATATATATATTTTAATTGTCTGATCGCTTTCGACTTACTACGAGTTCTAATTTTTTTTAAATAAAAAAATTTTATTGCGATAATTCAAACTAATTTATATCGATATAGTATGCTATACTTGTTGTGAATTATATATAAGAATAGGTTTCATTGATACATAATAATACCTTGTCCTTGATACGATTTATTAAAAACTTTTGCTACGATCCTAAAATGGGTTTTAATAAAAACATCAGGCAATCATTATATTTATAATAACTCGTTCAAACGAAATGATTCAAAAGCCATAAGAAAAGAAACTTAGATTACATAAGTAAAGCTACTTCCGGGAATATACAAAAGTGTGACAAGCGAATATTGTTTTTATACTAATTTTATTTGAAAGTTTCTTATTAAAATTTTTGTGTTATATTTAAACTGGTGATATTTTATACTGAATAACTTGATTATTTTAAAATTAACATTTGATTGAAGATTCAAAAAAAAAGGCTAGTATGGTATTAATATAAAGCAAATTTGCTAACACAAGATCGTTCAAATAGCCAATATTTACTAATTTTTTTAATTTCTGATCTAAGAAAAATTAACGCCAATATTCAAAAGTATCATGCAAACTACATCGGTTAATCATTTTTTCTTTTAACCCAAGATTATTATCCCAAATCTTTAAAGAGGTTAATGTGGTATTCTTGAGAAGTGCCTTAGATAATGCTCTTCCAACGTCTAATCCAAGATAATTATGACAAATATCTAAGGATGTCAACGTGGTATTCTTGCGAAGCGCCTTTGCCAATGCTTTACCGCCTTCTGATTTAAGAAAATTACAACCGATATCCAAGTATGTTAGTGTAGTATTCTTGCAAAGAGCATCTGCTAATGCTTTTCCTCCTTCTGCTCCAAGACCATTACGCTTAAGGCTCAAAGAAGTCAATGTGGTATTCATGCAAAGCGCATCTGCTAATGCTTTCCCACCTTTTAACTCAAGACTATTATAATCAAGATTCAAAGATGTCAGTGTGGTGTTTTTACAAAGCGCATCTGCTAATGATTTCCCTCCTTTTGTCCCAAGATTATTATTACGAAGATCTAAAGAAGTAATTGTGGTGTTCTTGCAAATTACATCAGCTAACGCTTTCCCCCCTTCTGATCCGATATAATTCCAACAAAGATCCAAAGAAATTAGCGTGGTATTCTTACAAAGAGCATTTGCTAATGCTTTTGCACCTTCTGTTCCAAGAAAATTCCAACCAAGATTCAAAGAAGTCAGCGTGGTGTTTTTACAAAGTAAATCTGTTAATGCTTTTGCACCTTCTGACCCAAGATAATTTTCTTCAAGATCTAAAGAAATCAACGTGTTGTTTCTGCAAAGCGCATCAGCTAATGCTTTAACACCTTCTGGTCCAAGATCATTCCAACCAAGTTTCAAAGAAGTCAACGTAGCATTCTTATGAAGAAACTTCGCTAACACCTTTCCCTCCTTAATATTGATCTGATTATTATAAAGATCTAAAGAATTTAAAACATTGTTTTTATAAAGAGCTTCTAATAACATTTTAATTTCTTCGGACCCAAGTCGATTATTAGAACTAAAGCTCAAAGAAGTCAAAATAGGATTCTTATAAAGGAATTTCACTAATACATCTATTGCCTTAGATTTAAAGTCACCGTTGATGATAAATATTTGCATAGAACTAAGAGTAGTGTTCTTATAAAGATTTTCAAATATAATTTGATTACAAATAATTTCATTAAGACTTAAATATTTAAGATTCTTACTAGTTCTTAAAAACATTGCAATCAAAGAATATCCAATAATATTTTCAAGTTCACATCCTGTATAATCTTCTATTTTAAAATTATTTGGAAGCCAATTTTTAATACCAGCATATAAATCATTACTAACATGTGTAATATAATTTGTATATTCAAATAATGGTTTTTGTTGATTTGGAAGGGTAATATTTAAAGGAATTAATAATGCTTGTTCTTCAGCATTTAATGTTAAAAGAAGTATTTTTATAAGTCTTATGTCTTTAAAATGACGTGCTGGTTCGCTCCACAAAATTGGTATTGTAATTCTGCACCATTGACGGTTTACAAGAGCACATGACAATAAGTTTTTATAATCATTCCGAAAGTAATTAAATATCATATAATAACATTCAGTTGGCGTTGCTATCATTTTAGAAAAGTTTTAGTAAAGTACTGTACGTACGCACACGTTACATGTGTAAGATTTTTGCTATATATATAATCAGAATAAATGTTGTGAAACGTTGCCAAAAATCGAGGCTTGGCACTATGATAATCGAAAATTCGATGGTTGACGTCAGATTGAGCTGCATAAAAAATTGTTAAATAACGTTTATTACAGAGATATATGTGAACTTTTATTTTGTGGAAGAATCCAGAGAACATAAATCCTCTTTTAACCAAGAACGAGAGCACACACTTACATATTTTTTAGTGTCAATTGTAAGTTCGGTATATGTGAAATTTTGATCGTGTACGTACGTACGTAATTGGACAAGTATTACGCCACAAAGAATATAATGCCTAATACCATTAAAGATAAGATTAGCATGGCTATGACAGAAAGAACTTATTATTATTATTATTATTACGTATGTACATATAAACCGGTATGTAATAATTTAAAGAATTATACAAATGCGGTATTGAGAGACATGAGACAAAATTATCATGAAATGTAATCCGATTATTTGATTTGATTTTAAAATTATTAATATTATTTAGACTGAAGATTCAAAAAAACATATTATCGTTATGGTATTCTGTCTATAACTTCAAAATTCAATTGTTCGTGAAATGCCGACATTCGCTAAACTTCTGTGTCTTTTTAAGCAGGACATCAACGTGACAAGAGATCAGATCTATAGCTTTGAGTAATTCTTTGGGAAATTTCGAGCTAAAAACCACCATTCCAACGCTTTACAACCGAAATAATTGTTATTCATATCTTTGAAGGGAAATGCTTTAGCATTCTTCACCTTAAGATTATTCTTTCCGGAATTCAAAAAGTGATCTTGCAAAATCCATCCACTAATGTCTTCCTACTCCTGATTCGAGGAAATTAGCGCCAAGATTTAATAATAATCATGTTAATAATCATGCAAACCACTTCTGCCGATTCTTAATCCAAGATAATTCTTGAGAAATGCCTTTGCCAATGTTTTTCCGCCTTCTGATCTATGAAAATTGTAAGATACAAAGAAGCTAGTGTGATATTCTTGGAAAATGTACGTATCTGATAATGCTTTTTCTCCTTTTGATCTAAGATTATTATGTTCAAGATTTAAAAAAGTCGATATGGTATTCTTGTAAATTGCATCAATTCTGATCAAGAATAAATAAGTATGATATTTTTGCAAAATGCATCTGCTAATGCTTTTTCTCCATCTGATCCAAGAATATTTTCTTGAAGAATCAAAGTCAGTGTGGTGTTCTTGCAAAGTACATCTACTAATACTTTTTCTCCTTCTGATCGAATATTATTCCAACCAAAATTCAAAGAGATCGGCGTGGTATTCTTACAAAGTACATCTTGTCCAAGATTATCACCACAAAGATCCAACTTACTATTCTTACAAAGTGAATCTGCTAATGCTATTCATCATTCTAATCAAGATAATTCCAATAAGATTCAAAGAAGTCAGCGTGATGTTCGTTAATGCTTTTCCATCTTCTATCCAAGATTATTACGTTCAAGATCTAAAGAAATTACTTGCAAAGAAACTTTGCTAACGCCTTCCTCTCTTAAATATCAATCGAATTTTACAAAGATTTAAAGATTTTAACCCATTTTCACACTTTCATATCAAAGCGATTATTAGATCAAAGAATCAAAGAAGTTAAAATAGGGTTCTTATAAAAGAACTTTCCCAATACGTCCATTATCTTAGATTTAAAGCTACCATTGATAATAAATACATCCATAGAGGTGAGAGTGGTGTTCTCAAATATTTTTAGATATTATTTGATTGAAATAATTTCATCAAGGTGTAAATATTTAAGATTCTTACTAGTTCTTAGAAACATCGCATCGAAATCGAAGAATTTCCAATAACACTTTCAAGATCACGTCACGCTCTTGTAATCAGGGGAGAGACTTGCTAATAAAATGTCAAATTAGCTTAGGTTACAAGCATAGGTTATGCGGTACGAGCGTTTATTAAGGACTCGAACCTGATGATAATATAATTGGTTGGTAAAGATTAAAATACATTATTTACCGGTACTTTATTTATTTGTAATACACTGAACTATCACCCTAATTTTATTAATTTAGGCGTCATATTTATATATTAAGAAAGAGATCATTTCAACAGAATATACTATTCGACAACAAGCAAATAATGCATAGAAAAAAAAAACGTCACACATAATCTTCTATTATCTCTCATTTTTAAAATTATACAGAAACCAATTTCTAAATACCAACATTGTTAATAGATGTAACATTACTTGTATATTCAAATAGTGATTTTGGTTGACCTGGAAGAGTAGTTTTAAAAGGAGTTAATAAAGTTTGCTTTTCGGCATTAATGTTAAAAGAAATATTTTCGAGTTTTATATCTTTCAAATGGTGTGCTGGTTCGCTCCACTATTAGTATAATAATTCTACATCATTGACGATTTGGAAGTGCACATGAAAATAAGATTTAATAGTTTTTCCGGAGGTTATTAAATATTATATAGTAATCAATCGTTAATTCTATTGTATTGAAAAAAATTCTCAAAAATTTTAATATATATTTTATATACTTATATGTTTGCTATATCGCAAAATCAAACATTGTAGCGTCCTTTTATTTAATCATATATGAGATCACATAATGGTTTAAAATTAGAAAATTATTTGATGTAGAAATTTTCGTAATATTTTCTAATTTCAGTGTACAAGAGATTCTTATTATTACGTAACATTGGTATCAAATCTAATTTCGTCACTTCTTCTTGTGTATACCATTCCCACGGCGTCGCCTTTTCAGGTTCAGTGCATATGGGCACTTGAGTTCCGTCATAAGGGTACATGAACAAAGTTAACGTCACATCATAAAGAGCTTCATCTTCACTACAGTGGTCGTCGAACCATTCTTTCTTAGAAGGTGTAGTTTTACTCCAAATCTTTTTACATTTATTTTTCATAAGTTTCATGTTAGTTTCTTCCTCCGCTTCACGTATAAGCGTTACAAAAACGTCTTCGTTAATTTCATCATCGTAGTATCCGCGAAACACGTGTCCTTTTCCACCAAATCCTTGCATTGAATTTTTATACGGTTCATTCAAACGTTTTGATAACAAGATTTCTATTCCTCTGTTACCAAGTCGAAAAAGTACACCTTGCACTAGTATTCTCTGCAAACGTTTTGTCGATTTCGAATGTTTGTTGCTCATTTTTTTTAAACTTACTTTTTGATAGATTATTCGGTTTTTTATCATGATATTTACGTGTAAACATTGCATTATTTACTGTAGTACAGTATTACTGTATTAATCATAAACTAGCACGTCATAGGTTAATACAGGGCCGATGATTTTCTGTGATTCACAGAAAACAGCAGAATTTCTCTTAAGTACAGCCAATCGCAGAAATCACTCTTAATCACCGCAGAATATCGCAGAATACCACAGAATACCGCAGA